CACACACGCATTTACATAAAGATGGTTCTGCCCGCATTCCAACGAGCAAGATGGTGATGATGATGAAGAAGATGATGATGAAGAAGATGATGATGAAGAAGATGACGATGAGGAAGATGACGATGATGATGAAGATGACGACGATGAGGAAGATGACGATGATGATGAAGATGACGATGATGAAGATGATAACAACAAAAACATTTGGCTCACAAAATACAAACAAACAAAACAAACAACAATAACAGCAACAACAACGACAACAACAATAACAACAATAACAACAACGACAATAACAACAAAAACAATAACAACAACAACAACAAAAAATGGACTGTCGTAAAACGTAAGAACATCATTTGCAACGACCCTCAGTCACCTTCATCATCATCATTATCATCATCGTCATCACCATCGTCGTCGTCATCATCACCATCATCGTCATCATCATCATCATAATCATCATCATCATGGTCATCATCATCACTATCATTAGCGTTATTATACGCAGAATTTTTTCTCTACATAACTTTTTTCATGATTTAAATGCATCGGAAACGAACGTGGAAATGATCTTGTTTATTAATGTTTAGCTGAAGTTTTTTTGGCGGTAAAAACTTTTTGGCGGGAATTATTTTTGGCGGGAATTATTTTTGGCGGAAATTATCTTTGGCGGAAAACGTAGAAAATTCAAAATAGGCATATTAGTATTGCTGCAAGTATTTGAAATTAGTATCAATGGTGATAATGATGACAGTGTGATAATTTTTTTTTTATAATGGAAATTCAACGATCGTTTTGAGAAAAAAAAACAATAAAATATTAATAAAAATAATTTCAAAATAATAATTATGAAAAATAATTATCTTAAAAGTGATAATTATAAGAATAGTAATAATATAAATATAATGTAATATAGTATGGAGAATAATAATGAAAAAATTGTTCCCAAGTAGGGCTATATATAGCAATGAACAATTGGAAAAGATGATGGTAGAACTCGTAAAAATAATTTTCATACTATGCAGACCATTATGTTGTTTACAAATAATAATAAGAAGAATAATAATAATAAGAAGAAGAATAACAATAATAACAATTATAATATTTATAGCAACAACAACAGCAAAAACAACATCGACAACAACATCAACAACATCAACAACAAACAGTAACAACAACATCAACAACATCAACAACAACAACATCATCAAAAACACCAACAACAACATCAACAACATCAACAACAACGACAAAAACAACAACAATATTTACAATAGAAATAATGAAAATAATAATAATCTATAACTTTTTAAATGTTATCTGTGGTTGATTTATATTAAGTGTTGCATTTTCCTTCACGAAACAG